GCAGACAGGGGGGCAAGGGGCCACCGACTCCACCATGAGCTCAGTCTGGGTGGAGGCCTCAGAAGAGCCTATGGTAGGCGGCAGCCCCTGGGCAGGGCCCCTGGCAGCTGCGCTCCACGTCTGCATCACCATGACTGCAGAGGCCGAAGTCACACTGCAGTCAGATCAATTCAGGCACAACATTAGGAAAAACTTCTTCCCAGCCAGGGTGTCCAGACTGTGGAACAAGCTCCCTCCAGAGGTGGGACAATCACCTACCCTGGAAATCTTCAAGAGGAGACTGGATGCTCACCTTGCTGGGGTTACTTGACTCTAGTTGTCTTTCCTGCCTAGTGCAGGGGGCTGGACCTGATGATCTTGTGAGGTCCCTTTCAGCCTTACAATCTATGAATCTGTCTATGAAAGATGTGATACTAAAACATTTTCTGAACTCGATAAAGTTTAACTGGCAAGTTCCAGTTGGCCCACAGCCTGTTAAGAATAAACAAAGAAAGATCTAACCAACAGGAACAGCAGGGAATGATGGGCCCAGTACTTTTCAGAGGAACTAACCAGACTGATATACAAGAAACTCCTGACTTTGACAAAGAAACTGAATACCCCAAAATAGATATTTGTAACATATAACAAACAAGTGAAAGGCAATTTAAAAAATCCTAGAAAAGTAGCAGATAAAGTCTAAGTCACTGAGGGAATGTTAAAACCTTGTGATAATGAGATCATCAATTAAGTCACTGAACTTTCCAACAGAAAAAAAAAGCCTCCAGAACAATGAGTAAATGATCTGGAAGTCAGAATACCAGTGATCTAAGCCAGTGGTCTCCAAATTTTTTTGATCACGCACCCCTATCAGTAAAAAGATTTTGAGCACCCCCCCAATATATGTGTATTTATATTTGTGCACCCCATCAGTAAAAATATTTTTGAGCATGCACCCCCAATATATGTATAGTTATATAAATATAAATAGAAGTTCTAATATTTTCTTCCCGCACCCCACTTTGGAGACCACTGATCTAAGTGACTGCAACAACTGGTGACGTATTTTATTCCTTTCTGTGGTGAGCAAAGTCCTCTGCAGTGTGACTTTGGCAAAATAAAGTGGTTAAGGTAAAGCAAAAGTAAGAGGAGGCTAAAGTTTTTCTTGTCCCTTCTCACACTGCTTGTTCTCACCTAAGATTTTTTTTCTGGGCATGTTTTGGAGGCATCCATATTTGATTTGACTGGTTTCCTTTCTTTTATATAAGGGGCAAGGGTTTTTATGGGTGATATCCTTTACTGGAGCAACTCCATGGTTGGAGTAGGCTTAAGGTTTTGAATGGGAAGCTCTGACCTGTTGACCCAGTGAAGAATACTTCACATTCAAAAATTTGACTAAGTCTATCCCAGCCATGCACTTGGTCCTATAAAAGATATCACCCACAACATTCCTTGCCTCTTGTGTAATTCCTGGACCATCGTGGCTACAACATCACTTCCTTTCATTTCCACATATCCTCCCTATCCAAGCTTTGTTTGTTGGAAACCAAAAACAACAATTATTATGACATGCATGGGTATGGACACCCCTACATTTGAAGCCATTTTAAAAGGGGATGTTTCAAAAGTGCCACAGCACTTACTATTAGCAATTGTAGTAATTGTTATTACTAATATTAATTATTAACATTTATGA